AACAGAAGAGGGGCCATCAACAGAACCTCCACTGTCACACACACACACAGCCCTCCCCCACACACAGCCACACACACCACATACACACACACACATACACACACACAGACACCCCCCACATACACATACCACAGACATACATAGACAGACACACACGTACCCACACACAGCTACACAAAAACACACCTACACACACCCACATTCCCACAAACACACACATACACACATCCACATACTCACACACCCACAAACCCACATACACAGAAGTGCACATACACCCACACGCAGACACCACATACACACCCCTCCACACATACCCTCATACACAGACACAAATACAGACACACACACACACACAGCCATACACACACGCACACATAGGGACACACACACATACACATAGAGCAACACACACACACTGCTACACACACACATACACACATGGCCACACACACAGACACATATATACAGCCACACACACATACAGACACACACATACAGCCCCACACACACATACACATACACAGACACACACATATGCACATACACATATGGCCATGCACATAGAGCAACACACACTCACACGTACACACAGTCACACACAGATACAGCCAAACACACACAGAATAACACACACAGGTACACACACACACACAGCCAAACACAGATACATACGTACACACACAGCCACACACACACATACACACAGACCCACACACAGCCACACACACACACAGCATGAGCCACACACTCATGCATACACACATACAGACACACACAGCCACACACACACATACAGCCCCCTCCACACACACACACACACAGCCCTGCCTGGGACGTCTATCGTGGGTGAGGGAATCAGAGAGTGAGAGAATAGTACGGTGGGGTGGGGTCGGCAGGCAGTGGGAGGGCTGGGAGGAGAGCAGGGTGGGTGAGAGGCACCTGGGGAAGCCTGGGCGAGAGTGCCTGCATGTGTCTGTCTCAAGGGAGGGCTGATGTGGGAGGCTTGTCCCCGGGGAGCCCCAGCAGGGGGAATGGAAGGGCAGGTGTGGCCCTACCCTGGCAGGTTGGGCAGCAGTGCCCAGATGGGATGAGCGGGTGGCTGCAACCCAGAGGCTCACAGGGCAGGCGGCCGCACGTCACGAAGCCTCCAAGGCAGGTACACCGGTGGCAGGGTTCTCGGGGATCCGGGAACTCCTGATTACTCAGGTAGTACTCCCCCAGGTACTCACAGCCTTTGGGAGACGAGACAGAGAGGCCGAGGGGAGGGACAGAAACGGATGAGAGGGCAGCAGTTGTAGGCTCTGAGCGTGGGCCTGGGGGGCATCCAAGATCTCAAAGATCTAGCATGGGGGGCGGAGTCACAGTCCAAGCCCAGAGGTCAAAGCAGTTGTGAGGGAGGGTGTTTGAACTAGCCAAAGGGCAAACTTTCTCCCCTCTAACCGGCAATAAATCTTCCTGTTTAACCTGTAGAAAAACACCAGTAAAGAATCTGCTGCCCTGGGGTTAAACACTCAGCAGATCATTGCCAGAGGCACCAGTTTCTCAACCAGGAGAGCCAGGAGTAGCCCCAGCTGACTCAGATGGTGCAGACTCAAGGTAGGGCCTTTCCCACACTCTTCCAAGCCCTCTGATGAATACAGGAGGGGGTGGGGTCCCAGGGTGGTGGCAGCCCGCCCTTGGCACCTCTGGCATTGGCTCACTTCCCTTTTTAAAAAAGAGAGGGTGACTAGAGGTGACCGGCCAGGAGATGGTCGCCCAGATCAAAGCTCATGTGGCCTCACTGGAGGGCACTGCCCCAGAAGATCAAGTCATGCTCCTGGCAGGCATGCCCCTGGAGGATGAAGCCACCCTGGGACAGTGCTGGGTGGAGACCGTGGCCTCCTTGGAAGTAGCAGGCCGCATGCTTAGAGGTAAAGTCCATGGTTCCCTGGCCCGTGCTGGGAAAGTGAGAGGTCAGACTCCTAAGGTGGCCACACAGGAGAAGGAAGAAGGAAGAGGGAGAAGAAGAAGAAGAAGAGGAGGAAGAAGAGGAGGAAGAAGACAAGTGGCTGATGCAGTCCAACCAGCGCTTTGTCAAGGTGCCCACCTTTGGCAAGAAGAAGGGCCTCAATGCCAACTCTTTAGTCCTTTGTAATTCTGGCTTTCTCTAATGAAAAAGCCACTTAGTTCAAAATAAAAATAAAAATAAAAAGAGGATGAATTTCAGGCTCTAAGCCTTGGCAGGCAAAAGTATCTGACAAGGATTTAACAACATTATAATTTTAATTGTATTCATTTTTATGGTAATCTGATCCTGGCAAATCTAATTTTCCATTTACGTATAGTATGATATAAAACTCCTTTCTAAATCAATTTCAATTAATGTGAGTTAATTTGAAGGCAAATAAATAAAATTACAGCTGGTAGAGGGCAAGTGGCAAAAATCGCCAAGATGGCACAAGAGTGAGGGAAGCCAGGGAAGGCTGGGGACCTGGTCTGGCTCTCGTAACTTTTTACAACAGCCAAATTTAGGCCCAGAGAGGTTATGTAACTTGCCCAAGACCACAGGACAAATAGCAACAGAGTCAGGAGAAAATCCAGGCTTTAGCCTCAGGCTTTTTTCTTTTTCTTTTCTTTTCTTTTTCCTTTTTTTTTTTTTTTTTTTTTTTGAGATGGAGTTTCACTCTTGTTGCCCCGGCTTACTGCAGCCTCTGCCTCCCAGGTCCCAGTGATTCTCCTGCCTCAGCCCAAGTAGCTGGGATAACAGGCATGTGCCACCATGCCCAGCTAATTTTGTATTTTTAGCAGAAACGGGGTTTCTCCATGTTGGTTAGGCTGGTCTCAAACTCCCGACCTCAGGTGATCTGCCCACCTCAGCCTCCCAAAGTGCTGGGATTACAGGCATGAGCACCCGCGCCCCGTTTTTTTTTTTTTTTCTCTCTCTCTCTTTCTTTCTCTCTCATTCTCTCTCTCTCTCTTTCTTTCTTCTTTCTTTCTTTTTGACAAGGTCTCACTCTGTCACCAGCCTGGAGTCCAGGGGAAAACGTGGCTCACTAAAGCCTCAAACTCCTGGGGGATCCTCCCACCTCAGTCTCCCCAGTAACTGGAACTACGAGAGCCACCATGACCAGCTAATTTTAAAATTTTTGTGTACAGACAAGATCTCTCTATGTTGTCCAGGCTGGTCTTGAACTCCTGGGCTCAAGCAATCCTTCTGCCTCAGCCTCCCAAATTGTTGGGGTCACAGGTGCTAGCAAGGGCTTTAGGCCTCAGGGCTTTTTCTTACTGTAATAAATATTTGAGATCCTAGGGCAGTGAAGATTAGGCTCACTCAGCTCTCTGGTCCTCCCACCCCACCCCCGCAGTCCCCTATCCCTTGACCCTCACCATCACAGTCAGGGCAGCAGCCGCCTCTGGTGGGGAAGGGACACAGTGCAGGGGCACACGCCTTGGGCTCACAGCTCACACTGCCCTCCCAACAAAGGCAGAGATGGCAGGCGGCAGTGGGCGATGGGAAGCGCTCCCCGCTGGCAAACTCCTTCCCCTGGTACAGGCAGCCTGGGGAGAAAGTCAGGTGTCGCCGGCCGTGGGGGCTGGGGGACCGTGGGGACTTGGTGGTCTTGGGGTTGGTAGGCGTGGAGGACGAGTGTCGTGGGGACCGTGGAGCCTGGGTGCCGTGGGAGGCTGGGGTCCATGGGGAGCTGGGGGACTCTGCGGGCGGAGAGACCGTAGGCTCCGTGGGGGCTGAGGTACGTGGAGGATGGGTGTTGGGGGGGCTGGGGGCCGTGCGGGCTGGCTCCCAGGCCTTGATGACCCGACACTACATTCCTATTGAGATCCCCGACGTGGGCGGAGCGGGCCTGGGCAGGAGGACTGGGCAGGGGGACTGGGCAGAGCGCTCCGGGTCGGTAGCGTGGGTGGTGGCGGGAGGAAGCGGGTGGCCGGGAGGGGGGCCGCAAGGGCGTTACCGTCGCAGGAGGGACAGCAGGGCCCCTGGTGCGGGTGCGCGCAGGGCGCGGGCGGACAGGGCAGCCGCTGGCAGGACACGGAGCCGTGGAGGCAGAGGCAGAGGCGGCACGGATCGCCGGGCGGGGAGAAGTGCTCCTGGTGACGGGCGGGGGCCGCGCCGGGTCTTGGGCAGCCGGCGGGAGCGGGGGCGGCTGTGGTGAGAGCGCGCGTCAAAGGGGCCCAGGAACAGGCCTCCCGGGGCACCCCCGGGGAAGAGCGGCCAAGGGGTGCAGCCCCTACCTGGGCACTGCGGGCAGCACTCTCCCGGCGGCAGGACCGGCTCTGGACAGGGCAGCGGCGCGCAGCGGCGGGCCAGGCACTGCACGTGGCCACTCTGCGGATCGGCGGACCGACCACGGGTCAGTGGGTTAGCGGGGGGAGGCGGAGGAGACCACTCTCATCCCCTCCCACCTGGGCGGGCCTCTCCTGGCCTCCGCTAGTCCCGCCCCCACTCCCCTGGGCTCCTCCCACCCAGGTGCGGACTCACCAGACAGCTACACTGACGGCAGGGGTCAGAGGGGTGGGGGAAGTCCGCTCCGCTGAGGTACTCTTTCCCGCCAAAGGCACAGCCTGGGGGAGGGAGCAGCTATAGCCTGGGAGAGGGCGACTCCCCCAGGGCTTGCAGCCTTCCGGGGACCACGCGACCCCAGAGGGCCGCCCCGCCCCGCCCACCTCACCGCTGCAGTCGTTCTGGCAGCAGGTCCCAGGCAGCGGGTGGGCACAGGGGGCTCTGGGGCAGGCGCGAGGCTGGCAGCGGGCATGGCCTTCCTGGCATCGGCACTCCTGGCAGGGGTCTCGGGGGTGGGAGAAGCTCTCGCCGTCCACAAACACCTTTTCCTCCAGGATGCAGTCTGGGCAGTGGACAGTGGGAGCAGGAACGTGGGCAGAGCCTGACAGCCCCTCCAGCCCTGGAGTCCAGAGCCGCTGCCCAAGTGCCCACTTGGAAACTGACTGAAGAGGGAAGTGGAAGAAGCGGCCATGTGCACGTGTGCTGGCATGTGTGTAGTTGAGCACACGAATGCGTGTGTGTGCATGCGCATTGGAGGTCATCCACCTGTAGGCAGATGTGTGTCTGTGAGGGGAAGCGGAGGAGTGCTTACACACGTGTGTACCTGTGTTTGTGACACATGCCCTCACACAGACTCTCTACGGGGCAGGGACGTGTCCCATGCATCCCAGCACCCAGCCTCCTACATGGCAGGCTCAAGTGTCTGCTCATGACCTGTGTTATGCAGGTAGATACATGGGTGTACCTAGGGGGGTACAGGGGTGGGGACCCAAGGGTAGCAGGGGCACTAGTTACTGGAAAAGGAAACGGAGCATGGGAGGGGAGTGTGGTGTAGGTACAGGCAGGAATGAACAAATCTCTACTCTCCCTCCCACCCTCACCCTTTGAGTTCCAGTGAGTTCTAAGCTCTGTAGGACTGGAACAATTCAGAAGGCCATGGCTTTCTAAGGTAGCTGTTGGGCCGATGGGGCTGTGGGACAGCAGCATCTGGGGCCCTGGTCCTCTCAGGCACAGTGAGCGCATACATACCTGGGCACCTGGGGCAACACTGACCCGGTCCACTCTGGGGCCTGGCACAGGTTGTGGGAGGGCAGTCAACCAAGGAGCATGTCACAGTTCCATCCTGGGAGAGAGCAGGGGTGAGAGCAATGGGGCCCACGAGAGGCTCAGTGGGGCTACAGTGAGGCTGGGCGGGTACCTGGCAGCGGCAGGCGTGGCAAGGGCTGTCTGCATCTGTGAAATTCTGCCCATTGGCATACACTTGGCCATGGTAGGTGCAGCTGTCACAGCTGGGGCAGCAGGCACCTGGGTGGGACAGGCTGGTCAGGGTGAGCTGGGAAATGCAGGGGAAGAAAGCCAAGATTGGCCCAAGCACTCACCAGGGGGCTGGGTGGGGTGCTGGCAGGGCACTGGGGGGCAGAGCACAGCCCCACACTTGGATACCCCATCTTGACAAATGCAGGAGGTGCAGGGCTGACCATCAGGCTCCCACTGGACTCCCTCCGCAAACTCCTCTCCATCCAGCACGCAGGCTATGGTAAGGGGCTGTCACATCAGCCTTCACACCTCCTACCCATTCCTTTCCTTCCCAGGCCACAGGGACCCCAGCTTCGACATCCCCACTGACACTGTAGAATGGCTAGTGGACTTGGCAACAAGTACCCCATCAGCGGAAGGAGCACCATCCACCTGCAGCGCCTGTAGCAGCTGCTCCTCTCTCTCTCACACACACCTGGGCAGAGTTGGCGGCCAGAGGCAGGCAGGGCACAGGGGGTGACGGAGCACTCCTGCTCCTCACAGGAGACTTCACCGGCCTAGGAGGGAAGCAGGTGAGAGACCCTGAAGGAATGAGACCGATCTGGGCATGACCGGCGGGATGCCTACCTGGCAGGAGCAGCGGACACAGAGGCCCCCCTCTTGGAGTCTGAAGGTCTCCTGGCTTCGATACTGGTGTCCCTGGTACTCACAGCCTGGATGGGACGACAGGAGCGTGGGGGTATAGGGCTGGGGGTGGAGGGGAAGCCTCACGTCACCCTGAGGCGTCCAATCTCCACTCTGACAAAGCAGACCAGCTGAGTCCTCCAGAGGTCCCGGCCAGCAGCCCCCGCCCCCTACAGCTATGCCACAGAAGCACAGGCTCTACCATAATGCCAGTTTGCCATGAGAAGGTGTGGTGAGGACTCACTTTGGGAATAAGGACTTAAGTCCAAGAGAAGCAAACCCCCCATACCTAGGGCCTCTCTGCGGCCAGGGCCTGTCCCTCCTGCAGTGACTCTGACCCCAACTCACCATCGCAGATGGGGCAGCACTGCCCAGGGATCTTGCCTGGGTGTCTGCAGGGCACCGGTGGGCAGGGCAGAGGCTCACACTGGATGCTCCCGTTCTGCCAACAGGGCCCGGTCAGCACGCCCGAGGCAGGCCCGGGAGCCAGGCCCTCCCTGCCAGGCAGCCACACTCACAGCACAGCGGCAGTGTGAGCAGGGGTCCCCCGAGCCCACGGGCTCCCCGCTGCGGTGCTCCCGCCCATTTAGGAAACAGCCTGTTGGGAAGAGGGGCTTTAGATGCTCCTCCAGGGCCACTCCCCGCTCCCTCCTGGCCTTCACGGCCCAGCTCCCGAGCAGGGCCACCCGTCAGCTTTCTCCAGGTTGTCCCCATGCTCAGGTCCCTGCTCTACCCACCAGCTCACCATTGCACACAGGACAGCAAGTGCCTGGGAGGGGCCGGGCTGGGTACGGGCACAGGCTGGCACATTCTCGCTGGCGGCACTGGATGTGACCCTCCTAGCGGGGAAGGTGAACACGGGAATGGGCCGTCAGGACTCAACTGAGAGGTAGAAATGGCATTAGAATCCCAGCTATCCATATATTTGATGTTGTTACGGGTTGAATTGTGTGTTCACCCCCCAAATCCCAGCACCTCGGCATGTGACGGTGTTTGGAAGCAGGGTCATTGCAGGTATAGTTAGTTAAGGTGAGGTCATACTGGAGCGGGGTGGCCCTAATCCAATAGAACTAGTGTGTGTGTATGTATATATATATATATATTTGGAGATGATAAAAAAGATCTTGTTGATAAAGCAGGTTGCAGGCTACAGATTAAGATGGTGTTTCACTCTTGCTGCCCAGGCTGGAGTGCAGTGGCATGATCTCAACTCACTGCAACCTCCACTTCCTGGGTTCAAGCAATTCTCCTGCCTCAGCCTCCCGAGTAACTGGGATTACAGGTGTCCACCACCACACCAGGCTAACTTTTTGTTTATTTTTAGTAGAGATGGGGTTTCACCATGTTGGTCAGTCTGGTCTAGAACTCCTGACCTCAGGTGATCCACCTGCCTTGGTATCCCAAATTGCTGGGATTACAGGCATGAGCCACTGCACCAGGTAGTATCCTTCTAAAGAGGAAAAATTTACACACACACACACACACACACACACACACACACAGGGAGAATGGCACGGAAAGAAGACAGAGGTTTGGGTGCTGCAGAAGCCAAGAAATGCCAAAGATCGCCAACAAACCACCAGAAGCGAGGGCAGAGGCTGGAGCAGATTCCTCCTTACAGCCCCAGAAGGAACCAACCCTCCCCCACCTTGATCTCATACTTCTGGCCTCCAGAACGGTGAGAGAATATATTTCTATTGTTCAAGACACCCAGTAAGTGGCACTTTGTTGCAGCAGCCTAGGAAACTCATACAGATATGTAAATTAGCATGTCAGTTCAGCTCTCTGTGACTTAGTTTATTTGTCTGAAAACAATGGACAGTCATAGTACTGTTCTCATAGGCTTACTATAGGATAAAATGAAGTACGGGGTCTGGTGTGGCGTCTACCTCTGAAGCTGGTGCTGGTGGCTGCTGCCACTCCTCCACGGCCTAGCCCAAAAAGACCCCATGCCTAGAATTCACATCCACATCGCTGGGCTCACCACCTCCAGCCCCATCAGAGTCTGAGCAGCCAATAACTTCTCATGGGTGGGGAAAGAGAGGACATGGTTGTGTCAGAGATGTTTGAACCAAAGTAACTCCATCTTGAATAGGGGCTGGATAAAATGAGGCTGAGACCTCCTGGGCTGCATTCCCAGAGAGTTAGGCATTCTAAGTCACAGGATGAGATAGGAGGTCAGCACAAGATACAGATCATAAAGACCTTGCTGATAAAACAGGCTGCAGCCAAAACCCACCAAAACAACAAGGTGGTGAGAGTGACCTCTGCTGGTCCTCACTGCTACACTCCCACCAGCGCCATCACAGTTTACAAATGCCATGCCAACATCAGGAAGTTACCCTATATGGTCTAAAAGGGGGAGACATGAATAATCCACCCCTTGTTTAGCATATCATCAAGAAATAACCATAATCAGGGGCAGCCAGCAGCCCTTGGGGCTGCTCTGTCTATGGAGCAGCCATTTTTTCATTCCTCTACCTTCTTATTAAAGTTGCTTTCACCTTACTCTGTGGACTTGCCCTGAATTCTTTCTTGCATGAGATCCAAGAACCCTCTTCTGGGGTACGGATCAGGTCCCCTTTCCTGTAACAATTGCAGTGGGGCTGGGTGCCCTGTAGCCTTCACACGGAGTCCCTAGTCCTTAGCAGGAAGCTCCCAAAACAGGTGCCCACCTGGCCATCACAGCTTCCGTGTCCCTAACCCCTCAGGCTATTCCTTATACCTGGGATACCTTTCCCTCTTCTTTCATGATCAAACCCTACTTACCCTTTGAGGCCTAAGTAAACACCGCCCCTCCCATGAAGATGCTCTAGATCTGTGCTGCCCAGTAGATATATAATCTCAGCCACTTTTGTCATTTTAAGTGCTCTAGCAAATTTTAATTTTAAAAAAATTTTTTGAGACAAGGTCTTGCTGTATTGCCCAGTTTGGTCTCAAACTCCTGGCCTCAAGTGATCCTCCTGCCTTGGCCTCCCAATGTGCTGGTATCACAGGAATGAGTTACCATGCCCAGCCTCACAATTTTTTTTTTTTTTTTGAGATGGAGTTTTGCTGTTGTCACCTAGGCTGGAGTGCAATGGCAAAATCTCGGCTCACCGCAACCTCCACTTCCTGGGTTCAAACGATTCTCCTGCCTCAGCCTCCCAAGTAGCTGCGATTACAGATGCCTGCCACCATACCCAGCTAATTTTTCGTATTTTTAGTAGAGATGGGGTTTCACCATGTTGGCCAGGCTAGTCTCAAACTCCTGATCTCAGGTGATCCACTCACCTCGGCCTCCCAAAGTGCTGGGATTACAGGTGCGAGCCGTCACACCCGGCCATAACAAATTTTTAAAAGTTAAACAGATGAAATTAAGTTTTAACAACATATTTCATTTGACCCAATATATCCAAACTGTTATATCAATATGTAATCAACATGTAATGGATTACTATTTTACATTCCTCTATTTCCTAGGAAGTCTTTGAAATCCGGCATGTATTTTATTCTTATGACACATCTCATTTTGGACCCGGCCACATTTCGAGGGTTCAGTGGCCACATTTCAAGGGCTTGGTAGCACATGTAGTAATGGCTGTGAATTGGACAGCACAGTTCTAGACACCTCAAGTCAAGCTGTGCTTCTCCCGCCCTGGAGCTTTTGCCGCCTCCCATATCCTGCCCCGTCTCCTCCTCCAGCCTGTGAGCTCTTTTATTTTATTTTATTTTATTTTATTTTATTTTATTTTTTTGAGATGGAGTTTCACTCTTGGTGCCCGGGCTGGAGTGCAATGGCAGAGTGCAATGGCACTATCTTGGCTCACTGCAGACTCCACTTCCCATGTTCAAGCCATTCTCCTGCCTCAGCCTCCCAAGTAGTTGGGATTACAGGCATGTGCCACCATGCCCTGCTAATTTTGTATTTTTAATAGAGATGGGGTTTCTCCATGTTGGTCAGGCTGGTCTTGAACTCCTGACCTCAAGTGATCCGCCCACCTTGGCCTCCCAAAGTTCTGGGATTACAGGCGTGAGTCACCACGCCTCGCCCGTGAGCTCCTTGAGTTTTCACTGACCCCGGGCTGAGCATCTCTTGGGCTCAGACCTGGGCACACAGATGAGCTCTACCCAGCCCTCGCCCGCATAGCCCCCAGCAGACAGCTCCTTGGTCTTTTCCACTGGGTCCCCTCTCAACGCCTCTGCAAAGCGTTCCATGGAATAAAGGCATGAATACAGTGGGCCTGAGGGCAGGGATGGGGACAGCCCAGGAGCAACCTTGGGACTCACCAGGCACCGGCAGATTCGGCAGGGGTCCCCGGGTGTGGTCCACTCTTGGCCATGTTCCCAGTGAGAGCCACCTTCTGTGCAACCTGGGGTTGAGGGGGATGAGCAGAGGGAGGCCTGCTGGGAGCTGGCCTGGACCCCAGCCTCAGCCTGCCCGCCTTCCTCTTTCATGTGCCCTCCGAGGGCTCTCTCCTCAGCCAAGACCAGATGGGGTCACATGTCTGCCTAGATTCCCCGGTGGCTTCCAGTGCCCCGGGCAGGGTAAGTCCTTAGATCCTTAGTCCAGCCTTTCTGGTCTTCTGTGGACAGAGCGTAGCCACGCCCACGTGGCCATCTATCTCCCACCCCTCATCACCTCTTGCACCTTCCCAGCCAGCATCACACCCCCACCCCTAGTGTCAGGGCCACGCCTGTGCTGGGGCACTCTCCTCTTCCTGGAAGTCCCACTGCCTTCATCACCCGTTCACCAAGCTAACTGCTCTTTATCCTTAAGGGCCGCCTCGGGACCAGCTGCCTTCAGGATACCTTCCCTCCTGTGCCCAGGCTGGATTCGGTTTCCTTCCTCTGAATTCACACAATAGCTGGTGCCTGCTTCTATTCCTGCCCTTGCTGTTACAGGATTTTGCATTAGTGTATGACTCAGTGTCACGCCTAGTGGTCAACCCTGAGGGCTGACCCATGTCTCATGATTGGGAGCACAAAGTAAAAAGCAAACATTTATTTTTTTTATTTTTTGAGGCAGAGTTCCACTCTTGTTGCCAGGCTGGAGTGCAATGGCGCGATCTCGTCTCACTGTAACCCCCGCCTCCCGGGTTCAAGCAATTCTCCTGCCTCAGCCTCCCGAGTAGCTGGGATTACAGATGCCTGCCACCATACCCAGCTAATTTTTTGTATTTTTCGTAGAAATGGGATTTCACCATGTTAGCCAGGCTGGTCTCGAACTCTTCCCAAAGTGCTGGGATTACAGGCGTGAGCCACCGTACCTGGCCGAAGGCAAACATTTATTAAGCAGCACTATGAGGTATGGAATATCATTATCTGTACCTTACACATGGGGAAACTGAGGTAAAGAGTAACTTAGAGTCACACAAGCACTACATGGCAATGGAATTTGAGCTCAGGCATTCCAGCTTCCCCACACACCCCATCCACTGGAGACCAGCAGGATCTGGGTTCTGGAATTCAAGAAAGGGCATGACAGCCTACCTGTGGCTCCACCAGGGAGGAGCCAGGGGCTCTCACCTTGGCAGGTTGGGCAGCAGTGCCCAGGCCTCAGGGCTGGCTCTGGACAGGGGCTGACTGGGCACTTCAGGGGCACGCAGCGAACCTGGCTCCTCTGTAATGCACCAGTGGCTGTGAGGCCTCCAGGTCTGGCTCCCGCAGAGGGCAGGGTGGGTGGGTGTTGGGCATCCTCGGAGGAGGGGGCACAGGGCAGGGATGGAGGGAGAGCCTCGCTGGCTCCAGCTCTTGGGAGGCCTGTGAGTGGCAGGCAGGGCCCAGGGCAGGGCGCAGGCGTCCAGGGAGGAACAGGACCTGGGCAGAGGGGGCAGGCGGACTCACCAGGCAGGAGCACTGCAGACAATGGTTGGAGCTGGACGGGAAGGTGGCCCCCTCCTCGTAGTGTTGCCCCTCATACTCACAGCCTGGGAAGGTTGGCAGGATGACAGGTGGGTCACCAGAGAGCGGGGTGGGTGGACATCACTTGAGGGAAGGCATGATCCCAAATAGGTACTGGAACCTTGGGGTCCAGGGGGTGGAGAGGCAGGGCAGGAGGTCCCCCAGCCGGCAGATGGGGCAGCACTCCCCAGGTGGGTGTAGCTCTCCAGGCAGTTGAGCTCTGAACATGAAGGCCCCTGGCTGCAGGGCAGACACCAAGCCAGCCCTTCCTCCCCACCGCCCTCCTCCTTCTTTGTCTCTCTCCCTCTCTTGTCCCTCCCTGCTCCTTCCCTTTCCATTGCCAGAGCTGGCTTACTCTGCAAGCCTAGCCAGCTTCAGCCCTGATGCCTGGGCAGCAGGAAGCCCTGTCTAGCCCCCAGACTGGGCTCGGCATGGCCAGGCCAGCAGTATGCCCAGCAGCAGAGATGTGGGTGGTGGCTGATTCCTTTACTTGGCAGGTGCAGAAGACACAGGGCTCCGGATGCCACGTTTCCCCAGCCCTGTGGCCCCCAGGCCCAGCCCCCCAAGTAAGAGACCCAAAGGACTGGGTGCCACATTAAAGGGGCACCATTCACATGACAGACATCAGAGATTTTAATATTTACTACACCTTCACAGCAGATGGCAGTAAAGTGTCCCACAGGCACATCATCGGTATGGTTCCATTATTTCACAACAGACAGAAGTAGTGTCATGAGGAAAGGGTGCTGCCTTTTTCTTTTTTTTTTTTTTTTTTGAAATGGAGTCTTGCTCTGCTGCCCAGGCTGGAGTGCAGTAGTGCAATCTTGGCTCACTGCAACCTCTGCCTTCCCCGGTTCAAACAATCCTCTGCCTCAGCCTCCCAAGTAGCTGGGATTACAGGCACCCACCACCACACCTGGCTAATTTTTGTATTTTTAGTACAGACAGGGTTTCACCATCTTGGCCAGGCTGGTCTTGAACTCCTGACCTCATGATTCACCTTCCTCAGCCTCTCAAAGTGCTGGGATTACAGGTGTGAGTCACTGAGCCTGGACGTCGGTGCCTTTTTCAACTTCACCAAAGTTATCATATAGGCTAGCAGTGGCCCTGGCTCAGGCACCACGTGCCCCAAAGAGTGTGTGTGTGTGTGAGTGTGAGAGTGTGTGTGTGTGTGTGTGTGGGAGAGTGTGTGTGTGTCTTTTCTCCAAAGACTGTGTGTGTGTGTGTGTATGTGTGTGTCTTTTCTCTGAAGAC